CAATGACAGGGAATTTCTGAGTAAAAAAAGAAAAGGAAAAGAAAGAAGGAACCAGATGTGTTTTGATAACGACTATGTTATCTAGGTGCGTACACGAATGGCTGGACCACTACCCAGGAAAAATTCAAGTGAAAATGCTATTTTGATAAGTGACGAGAAACAGGACACTAAAAAGGAATTTGGACATATATGAAAATTAAATCCCACCCAATCAGTGCAGCTGACTGAATTCTTTTCGACGAAACCACTTTGCCCTGCGATAATAAAATTATGTTATCAGACATATGTACCGAAGGAAAATGAATGGGAACCAAAAGTGTTTTTCTTTCTTCCTTGGAGGCGACAGACAGACTGAAAATTTTGGGGATATTTCTTTTCTGAAGCCATGTTACGAAAACCAACCATCTCGATAAATTAGCGATAAACTAACTGACAAACACCACGTGTAAAACAAGAGATGTCATATTGTCCGTTCGTGGCTAGAGAAATGTTAATGGCGATTTGAAAGGAAGAAAAAGGAAAGAGAAGAGATAATTCATTTTTTTTTTTAGTTAAGCAAGGTATTTTTTTCCCGAAACAAAGCCACGGATTTTTCACGCCCGACTAAGACATCATTGGTCAGGTGGTGATCACGTGACGCACAAAGGAGGAGTAAAGATACCCGACCAAGACCTCATTGGCCGAGAGTGATCACGTGACGCACGAAGAAGGCTGTCAACGCCCCATCCAGAGTATAAGTATGAGAAGCTGCTACGAAGAAGTGGGGAGGGTAGTTCACGCCCCTCAGAGGTATGGTGAGAAAGTGGGAGTGAGGAGGGGTTTACCAAAAATGGAAAAGAGTGGAAAATCCCTAACCAGAAATAAAAGAGGTGGATATGTATTTAGAATTATCGAGAGACCCCCGACGCCAACGGTTTTTGTCGGCGTCAATAAAAACGAGGCCCCAACAGGCAGAAATCAGTTCGGGCTCTGGCGGCAGAGATGAGTACCAGAGTTCGGGCTCAAGTTTCCAGAGCTGAGTTCCCAGAGTCAGTCTCCAGTTGAAACCGCCTCGCAGATAGCTGACCAAGATTCACAAAAAAATTCCGGACTCCTCTTCAACCCAAAAACAATTATTTTGAAGAGCGACTTAGAACCAGACCACCGAAATAAGTTTTTCGACTTTCGTCCAGACACACCGAAACACCAATTTCGTAGAGAGCAAACAACTTGAAGAGTTCAAACTTGCCTAGCGGAAACGACGTGTCACAATCCACAGAACGGGTTGGGAGATAGATGCAGTCCTATGTATCGAACAACTAGACATAAAGTTTGTTACCTTTTTCTTTGATACTTTGAACTTTTTGAGTTTTCATTTTATTTTCTTTTATGCATATTTGTGTGTTATCACCCCCGTTGAACTCAGTTTGCATTACGGCCCCAACTACTGTTTGATCTCGTCTGTCTAAGATCAATTCACAACGTGGGTAGGCAGACTGGAGATCAATGCAGTTACCTTGGTAACCAGGCGTTGGAAGCGAGTTGGGAACGACGAGGCTGATATCAAATCTAACCAGATTCCCACCCGAATCACCAAGAGGTTAGAACGTCACATTTGGGTGCCGCGACCTATACCAAGCCAGTTGGTCGTCACAGGACGAGACAACACGACTGACGCGACAGGCGGACGTCACGTTTGGAGCAGCGACACCCGAACGGAGCAGCGAGGAGCGAACAGCTGGCGCCGCGGCGAAGACGTCACAATTGGTGCTGTTTAGGGACGTCACAACTGGTGTCGTGACCGGGATAGGACCCTGGAACGGCAACGTCACAACTGGCGCCGTGGTAGATCAGGATAGAACGTCACAGTTGGCGCTGCGACCGGGGGACGACGTCACAGACATGTCCGCACGCAACTCGGAGCTTCTTTTGCTTATCTGCAGACACAGGTTCGCCACAGTTATTGAAGGAGTTGAGCGGTAAGTGTGTGCGGTAAGCGTGAACCGTAAGAGGCGCAGTTTATGATGGTATGTGTAAAAGATATCCGTTAACCCTTTAGTTGATCGTTGCATGGTGCTCAACCTTTTGTAAAATGGAGGCTTTCCTTACAGACAATTAATAATTATGGTGGGGGGTTCTGAATAAAATATGTTTTTGTACGTAAAAGAAAGGTGTAAAGAAGGACGGGGATATATATATATATATATATATATATATATATATATATATATATATATATATATATATAATTCTAAGACAGTACTGTTTGGCTGTATCACAGCTCTTCAGTGCGACTAGACAGCCGAATGCCTCAAGCCAGAAGTGTAACCCAACCGATTTGGTATCAGTCAGACTTTCTACCACTGAGCTATCTTCATTCGACAGAATGAGGTAGCTAAATCTAGAAATGTGTTTTTATAAATGTAAACAAATGTCAATCAGCCGGAGTGCACCCTTCATTTTACTGAAGAGTTTCTCATTAACGCAGGTGTCTGTTGTTTGTAGAATTAGCTTGTTATTCAACAGTACTCAAGTGAAATATATTTTCAAGCGCTAAATTATGTCATTCGCAGACAGTATTGTTTCGCTGTATCACAGCTCATACCGACTAAACAACTGATACCGATATATATATATATATATATATATATATATATATATATATATATATATATCATATATATCAGAATTAAAAGTGTGAAGCTTAATATTACTAGACATATTAAAAGCGAAGCAACTGGTTTGCCCTGCTCTTCAGGCTTCCACAGGAGATTTAACTTAAATTAAAAAAACACTAGAAAATTTGCAGTGAAAAGGAAATGGGAGGAAAAAATATGATCACAGCATCACAAAAAATATGTATCACGGCTCTTCAGTGTGACTAGACAACCGATATATATATATATATATATATATATATATATATATATATATATATATATAATGGACTACCCTGTTATTTATTCAGTTGTGAAAGTTTGTGTGATAATCTTAAGTGGCATTTAAGACCCGCTAGTGATTTACAAAGGAGACCACATATGGAGCAAGTGTGAGGATTGTGAGATGACATCAGTTAGATTGGCTGACCTTTTTAGATCTTGCTCTCGTTTCTTGAAGATGATTCAGACAAGCAGATTGAAAATTGCTGAGTCCACTAAAACACGTTGATTTCCATTCTACCCGCTCCAAGGCTAAGCGCTCAAGGGTGTTATGGTATATTGACTGCTGACAAGTTGCTTTTCAGCTTGTCTTTGTATCTTAGCCATGGTCGTCCTACATTCCTGTAGCCCTGATCTAACTGGATGTACATTAGATCTTGGGTATCCTGTCATCAGACATTCTCAAGACATGACCTGTCTATATATATATATATATATATATATATATATACATATATATATATATATATATATATATATATATATATATATATATATCGATTGACTCTAGACATGAAGAGATTACGATTATATTGTTAGGGAGATGCATGTTATGAGAATATATAGGAAAGATAACGATTAACCCTGGATTTGAACAGGTTAAGCGTGCATTGACCTGGGAAGCATCAACTTAGGCGCCAGTTCCACTAAGTTGTGGTCCCTGGGAAGAATCTGTTTGAATGGAACGTACTCACTAATGGAATACAAAGAAAAAGTGTGCCATGGCAGGTTTTACAAGTACAGGTTCGAGCTGGTGGAACGAAGTTGGTTGATTGGTTGATCTGATTGTTTAGCGGAATACCAACACCTTATTGATCATTTAATGCCGAAATTTAGATTTCTTCGGAGCATTCAAGTAATAAAAATGATACATGTCAATTCTGCTTAGAGCCGGTGATGTGCGTGTTTTATATTGCAGTTTGACTGAAATTATATTTTGGAATACAGTTATTCGTATATTACATGATTTAATGTTATGAATGTTCTTTCTTGTTGGTTATTTTTTCGGTTGGTTGATTTCGTTTAGAGGCATATCAACACTTCTATGGGTTATTTAATGCTGAAATCTAAATAAGCTAAATACAAATTTATGGCTTCAACTAAATTTATTTTGAATGCAATTGTATCCTTTCAACTACAAATAAAATGTATTGCTGGTTATTTTGCTTTAAAAACATATTGTTGGTCATTTTACTATATATATGTATACTTGGTCTTTTTTATATATAAAAAGTTATTGTTGGTCATTTCACTATAAATATGTATTGATAGTCCTTCTTTATATAAAAATGTACAGTAGGTATTTTTACTATATAAAGTGTACTATTATACTTACATAGCGTTTTGTTTTGGGGTTAACTATTTGTTATTGCTAACACGTGCTACCACCCCAGATCATAGCGGACCTGGGAACAATAATAATACTCTTCAAAACTTCCAATCTCCCAGTCAGAGGCCTTGCTACCGGATGTAGTTTATCGTCGTACCGATGATTGTGGAACAAAGCAAACTTTATTTTTTGTTAACATTATTTGTGATAAACTTTAATATCTTGCGGTTATTCAGTATCTGTCTATATTTCTGAGATGAGGTATTATATACACTATTTACATTGTTCGGACTATCGTCCTCATCTTTATTGGCATATTTATCACAACGTTTCGGCCGTTGTACGCTCCGGCCTTTTTCAGGTGGTTGGAATGTCGAACTGAACCCTTTACGGTTATTATTTAGAATGCTGACTTTTTGAAACGAGCCTAACGCTCTTGATAAAAAAGAAAAGAAGTTTTAAAAATTACTTAGTTCAGAATCTGGCAAATCGTACAGCGATATTATCAAAAGGTGATTTAGTAACGGAATGTTCAATGAAAGTACATTGATCTTCCCAGTGATTCAAAATCAAATGCAGCTTTAGATCTCTTTCTCTCTGTTTTTATTTTTTTCTTTATTTTTCAGCCATCGTTTCCTAAGACGAGAATTTCTAGGCATTTCCGTTAAGTAATTGCATTTCAGAGGTCATTGCTGTCATCCTGGAAACTTTCTCTTCATCCTCACCCCGTGACTTCGCCATTCCAAAAACAGACCTCGTTCCGTGACTTCTTTTGTGGTCAGAATTACCCGTCGGCCATAAAGACGGATATTTCGTCATTGAAAACTAGAAGATATTATTTGGTGATAACCAAGTTTTCATCTCTCACTCAGAATAGTTTCAATTTCCCCCCTCTCTCTCACTCTCTCTCTCCCTCTCTCTATCTATCTGTTTCAGTCTATTCATATCTATCTATCTATCTATCTATCTATCTATCTATCTATCCGTTTCAGTCTGTTCATATCTATCTATCCGTTTGTCTGTTCATATCTATTTATTTATCTATCTGTTTCAATCTGTACATATCTATCTATCTATCTATCTATCTATCTATCTATCTATCTATCTATCTGTTTCAGTCTGTTCATATCTATCTATCTATCTATCTATCTATCTATCTATCTAGCGGTCACCCATCGTGTTGAACTGACAGAAAAGCAATAATTCTATGATTCGGTACCTCATGCACAGATGTCTAACCAACTACATTCGGTATATTTACGTGCAACATTGCTTACAAGATGATCTATCTATCTATCTATCTATCTCAGTCTGTTCATATCTATCTATCTATCCATCTATCTATTTATCTATCTATCTGTCTGTGTGTTTCAGTCTGTTCATATCTATCTATCTATATATCTATCAAGCATGCACAAACACATATACACACAAAAGTACAAACATTAATGTGTGTATGTGCATGTTATCTTTCCTGTTTCAAAATTAATAATCGCCGACTGGTTTTCTTCCTTTCTTGGGAATTCTCAAACAGGCAACAAATACGGGAATCTGATACCGGTTACTAGCTTCTGATTCTAAATATGATTTACCAATTTTTTCAAATGCTGATTAGAAAGCCACATGCTAGGGTCGATAATAACAATATTAGAAAGAATATCACACACACACACACACACACACACACACACGCGCACTCATCCATGTGGCTAAACGTCCGGTTACCTCAATATATATATTGAACATTTAGGTAGCAATCTTTCTTTTATACATGTTTCATTGAAATTTTTAGTGAGTGTAGAATTTAGTAGTGATTATTGTATCAAGTAGTTTCGACCAATTCATTCAACATTTTCAGGGGATTCGCTTTTTTATAATTGATAATTCAAACGCAAGATAAGTATCTAAACCTTGCAAGATAACTAAAAACAAAGAATTCTACGCCTCCTCATTATTGGCCTTCTTGGATCAGTTCGACAGAAATTCTCAGAAATGGAAATCTTTGGCTGACCTGAAAGCACCGAAAAACATGCTGAGAACACCAGTTCTCTTTGGGTTAATGAATTTTGGCAGCGGTTAGTGCTTAGATGTGGCACCGTTTCGGGAACATCAGATACTGTCAGCACCCTCTTACAATCCGAAACATGTTCCACGTTTAAATAAGCCCCAAAGCATTGATGATCCGTAGAAAAGAAATCAGTAAATCAACAGGTCATTGTCAGATTTAACTTCTTCACAAATAATAAAGTTTTCATTTGAAAAATGTCACAATGATCTGAAAAGATGATAGTCAGATGGAAGAAGGTCATAAGAAGAGTCAAGTGTATGTGGAAATCTTCCATATTTATTGTCGTAATTTTGTGTGATTCAGGCAATACTCTGCCTTATATTACCGCGTAAAAGCTATACGTCTTTACGCTTAGATAATGATGAGCGCATTTTTTTTGCAAGGCTTCCACTTAACGATAGAATTTTTTCTCATTAACTGTTTCGTTTTAACATTTCATGGTAGACGAAAGCCTTCACATTCCCCGTCATACGAAAAGTATAACTTTTTTTTTTCCGTGTGTCGTCGTGATTTGGGGATAGATTCTCTTTTTCAGTGCTAGTGATTGTCGTTTTCGCTTGATATGTTTAAAGAGAACACACTTCCATCGCTGGTGATGATTCTAAGTCGGAAAGCTTCGTTAGCAAGTCTGTTCTCCAGTAACGAATAATTCTTTGATTACGCTGTGAAGCAGTCAGAAGATGAAGATTTATCGGCAACATTTTGGCACTTTTCTGAGTTAATGAAGGTGCTTTATGAGTGAAGTGTGACTTCATTTGAACTGCTTTGCTAATTCCCATGCAGTTTTCGTACGATTATTTCAAATACGGGTTGCAGAAATTGATAGAACTTATTCAGATCAAGGGGAATACGCAAGAGAAAAATAAACCTAGGGAAGCTGTCTATTGTTGCCATTTCCGGTGACTTAAAGTTTCATATCCATACACAAGCGAATATCTAATGTCACTTCCGTTTCGAAAGAACTATTTTTTTTAAAAATTCATTCTCTGTACAACGCCTGATATGGTCATTATCTAAACTCATTTTTAAAAACGCAAAGTAGATACAAAATTTACCCACTGTGATGTTAAGCAAGCTACAGAGAAAAACATTAGAATCGATATGTCAAAAATGCGACAGGTCTTTCTTTCCAACATAATAATTATAGGGCAACATTCCACCAACACAATGTACCAATATATATATATATATATATATATATATATATATATATATATATATATATAGATAGATAGATAGATATAGATAGATATATTGGTACATTGTGTTGGTGGAATATATATATATATATATAGGAGAGATAGATAGATAGATAGATAGATAGATAGATAGATAGATAGATAGATAGATAGATTTGAAGGAATATATAAAACCTATTTTTGAAGACATATATAAAACCTATTTTTGAAGGCATATATAAGACCTACTTCCTAAATATGAACATCTATTTCGCAAATACACAAAAGTGATTCAGAATAGTGGATATGAATGAAGATCCAGTTACATTCGATATATACGGAGTATAATACCAGAATAGAATTTGCACTCAATTTCATACTAAGGGAGCTGTGTGCATGATAGAGCAGATGTGATGAGCCAGCCGCTGAATGCAGAATCACTTTACCTCATACCTGCATCTAATTGTGCTAGGTTGGTCCAGTAATACCAATAGTACTTGTTTTTAATCACACACCATTAATCCGTTCAGCGTCTAAGAAGCAAATGGCACATTGTTTCCGCAGTAGGCGACAGCAAGAGAATGATTTGGTGATACGTCCTTGCTCATTTCTTATAGTGATTTTCCAAGCGTAGCTTAGATGTGGCACAAGGCTGGAAGTAGGAGGCACCCAGTGAGTATCGAACTCACTACTCAGTCGTAATTATTCTAGCGAAACCAGCTTGCTAACCGTTACATCACTTCTAGGTGCACCTTGTCCATTTCTTATATATAGCTGCATATTTGCTCATTCATGATACTAAGTATATATATTTTTAGACTTCTTTTTTTAGCTTTTCTAAATCAAATAATTAAACCCTTGTTTGCAAGCATTAATGATTGTTTTATTTCTTTTTTTTAAAAGCTTTGTTCTACCGCTGATAACAATGCAATATGTATGTGGTCTAAGCTAGCAAAACTATGTTTACATAGGTTTTATGTTTAGGGATGTTTTCTGTCATCCGGTGTTTTCTGTCATCCGGCAGGGGCCTTTTCCCAAGGCTACCAGTTTACAGAGGTCGGGGTGTAATGTTAAATAAGAAAGAATCAAGTAAAGTTCTGTTCATTAGTCCGCGCGTGACATCATTAATTGCCACACCCAGTTCATCATATAAGATCTGATGATTAATTAGCATAATATTCCTTTCTCCATCCATTCCTACAAGGGATGGAGGTCTTTTATGCTCATAGATGTTTTCTTTTCTTTTCTTCATCATTAACTTGAACTTATTTTCCTCTATTGCACACACACACACACAATAATCTTCTCAGTCGCGTGTCAGGCTCGTTGTCTTTTAGAACTCTTAGATATCTACTGAATTTTGGCGTAGCTTTTCGCGAGAAATCGGACAAAGAACTTGTACACCTCGAGGTGTTCTTTAATCATCCGTTTTAAATCAATGCTTTCCTAAACGCTAGATCTCATAATTACATTTTATTGATGTTCTCTTTCGATGTAACAACCTGGTTATATGACAAACTTTCATTTTCAAGCGATGTTTTCGCGATGAGGAATGGCCAAAATGTAATCAGCTTAAGGCTGCTAATATTGTGGCAACCAAGACAACAAAGAATGACATCAAATGAATTCCGTTTGAAACATTCTTAGTCAAAAGAACACCATTCTGTAGACCCAGGTTTCTATTGCTATTCTATGGCGATCATGGTTTGTGTATTGAATAGAAATCTCATTGTTTACCCCATAACACTTGTCTTAAGTAAACGGTTGTGTGGTGGTTTGTTTTGGTTTGGCTTATTTTCTTTTACGGCATATCAACACCTTAATGGCTTATTTAATGCTGGCAGGAGTTTTAGGTTAGGTACGTATGAACAAAATACGTATTCTTTGTAAAGAATCAATTTGTAGATCAGCTTTCATTGACGTATATTTGTAAAGAGGGTTTTTTGTCGAGAGTCAAATGTATTACTGGTAATATTACTATAAAAATCTATTTTACATTTTCATAGTGTTTTGATCTCAGTTTGGCGGTTAACTATTTGCCCATAGCTGGAAGCCTAACAGGTGCTACCACAGCAATTAAGAAGTGGATTCACGCTCCTCAAAACCTCAAATCTCCCAACCAGAGGCCTTACTGCTTAATGTAGTTTATCGTCATACCCAGGACCTGTGTGGTGGTGTAATGGATAGAGCCTCATAATGAAAAATCGGAGGGCCGAGTTCGAATTCCATTTCCGGTTTGTTCAATTAAGCATACCCTTGAAAATGATATGAATTCATCTTCTCTTCTTATGGATTAAATAGAATTGCAGGAATCTGGAAAAATCATTGTTATTCTCAAAAAGCTTTTAATATAATATCCATTCAAGAATTTTTCTTACAATCAAAAGTACGTTTCGGCTTTAAATAAACCAGAAAGTGCTTATAAGCCGTAAAAAAAAGACCTAACAATTTTCTTACGCCTAACTACGCACAATAATGTTTTCTCCTTCTTTCTTCTCTCCCTGATTAATCCTCCGCCTTCTGATTTCGTTCTTGTCCCTTCCTCCTCCTGCATATTCTTCTTCTCTTATCTCTTCTTCATCACACCCTTGCCCTGCTTTCTTTCCTTGCCTCTTCTTTCACCTTTTTGCTTTACTCCTACACTTTCTTTCGTTCCGTTTCTTTATGTTCCTTACTTTCTTTTGTCTTTCTTTTGATCGTCCTGCTGTTTTTTCTTCTTTTTTTCCTTTTCTCCATTTTCTCTCTTCCTCTTGCTTTTTTGTCTTTCCTTTTAGCATTCCTTCTTTCACCTCTCTTTCCTTCTTTCTTCCAATAGTTATACATTTTTAAATCATAGCCTCATCTGACGACCACTAAAAAAAATAAGTGCAACTTATGCCATTATTTTGCCATGGCATCAGAAGCAGTCAGATTCCTAATTGTGTCATATTGATGGCTACCAATTTCTCTTTTTACGTCGTCTTCCTTTTTATTAATATTGAAATGTAAAGTGGAAACGCCAATCGTGACACCGTCATAGTTATACTGATGGCGACATGCCGTTTATTATTATTATTATTATTACTATTATTATTATTATTATTATTATCATTAATAAAGAAAATGATTATCGTAACTCTTCAAATATTTTGCAACACTTAGAGAAGAGAGCAATTTAAGAAAATAAAAAGGAAAAACAGAACATTTAACAAAGTTTAACAATGTTTCGACGGTACGTATGTCTTCTTCAAGATATTAAAATTTACATACAAGTATAAAAAAAAATATTTTTTTAAAATACGAGTCTTAGTACAAACGTCGCTTGTCTTGAGAAAAACGGTTGTACTGGTAATCAACGTGACAAAGCGAATGAAACGCCGCCAGCGTAAACGGAATGCAATTCAAAAATAAGTAACATGATGGGGATCGTGTTCATCTTTCATTTTCAAAGACAAAATTGACGTGTTCATCTGAAAGTTAAATTTGTTACTTGTTAAGTGAAAAACACTGAGTATGTACGTGATCGCTTGACACCGCTTCAGAAGATGTAACGAAGTATGGCATGTCGGGAGTTTTTAAGAAATAAGTATTAAAACTGTTAGTCCAAACCTAGATATTTTAAATTAGCTATTGTTCAAATTTTAAAACATTTGTGAGTTTTCATTTGAATGATATGTCAATCATTTCTAAAAATTTACAACTGCATACCTGTCCACATTCGCAATTCAGAAAAACTCTTGTTGAAAATACATCAGTACATTTTCATGAAAATAATTAATATAAACTAAAACTCTCAAAGCTCTCTATATTAAAAAATTGAAATCAAACCTTAATAAAATTAATTATGAATACTGCACACGACACAGGTCTTGAAGGTCGCGTGTTAAGATCCTAGAAACATCGGAGCATCTTTCGATAAATTACTCCCTGTCCATTGTATCAGTTTACGGTGTTGACCATGTTCGCCATAGTCTGTGAATATAGAATCCAGCGCAGTACGTAATCTGTTCAATGAAACAACGTTAAAGATTAATACTCACGAGTCAGACACTCTACTGGATCTGACTATATCGCCAATACCACCAGCAGTTGTTCCGTAATTCTTCAGTCTTCGATATCAAAGGCTGGCAGTGATATTTAGCCACCCCTCCACGACGGTTACATGAAGCACAAGGCTGGAATTAACGTGGGATCTCTGAGCCCGTAGGCTCAGCCCAAAATATTCCCTCTTCGAACGCGTATAAACGGGTGCAGGGGCAGTCAACCTCTCCGAACGAGACTCTGCCCTTCGGTGGAGCCTCGTCCAGGTTATCAAAAGCTGGCAGTGAATATTCGGGAAAAATATGGCCGCCTTTATACACGTCGCATTGAATATTTTGAGTCTTTTGATTGGTTAACCCTTCTATTGGTGAACTATAAAATGAGTCAGCTCATTTTGGCTGGCTCACTAGTACACCAGGGTACCCAAGAACTCCAACACACGGCTCTTTTTTCCCTAGTTGCCTACGATGGGTTATAGGGCCAGTCTGTCGCGCACCAACAGCCTAAAACGGGACAGGCCATGACTATCGTTGAGACGATTATCGATCACCAAAATCGCTCTCTAAGTGCAGGAAGTGACGTCGATGCAGCCAAAGACTCCACTATAAAGACCGAGAGAAGACGGACCTGAAAGCGATGCAGATTGGTGTAAACAACTGGGAAAAGCTGGCTGCCTATGGCCCTCCATATCACCGAGCTCTTTATACTGCAGTAGCAATAATCTAACTGTTGATGTTGTAAAGTTTCCATGACCGTCAAGCGATTCAAACCGCTGGACTTTGATGAATTTTCATCTGGTGTCTTCGTCGAATACGACCGGCAGTCTATGATAAATGATGAATGACCAATTGACCAAAGAGTTTTAGATGGACGAATTAAACCTGTTTACATATTCCATACATTTTAATGAGGCACGAAGATTGTGCCGACCAGAAATGTTGTTGAACACTTTGCAAAGCAAGTTGTGTAACACGAGCATTCTTTTGACTGTCATTATCTTGTTTGTAAAGCGCATCAACTTGTTTCAGAAATGGTAGCAGAGCTTCCTGTCTGAATTTCTGGAATGAGGAATTATCATTATATCCATTCGTTACACACGAACTAATTTTCTCATCTTTGTTGGTATTATCACAACGTGCAGACTTGTGAAAACCGGCCGAGCAACAACTGTGTACTAAATAATATCTAGATAAGTTATCCGTAGATATTGATAGACGAACAAGAACAATCTACCCATGTTCATTAAATAAAGTGCTCGCTTCTGAGTTCGCTGATAGTTACACGAATCGACAAATATCTGATGAATGTCTGATGACAAAGCGACCGAAATGCTGTTGATAATAACAACGAATATAAGGACAATAGTCTTTCAGTAAGGAATGTTGTCAGCGCCCCCGCTTTTTTTTTTAAAACTACTGAAAGAAAAATCTTAACCAGCGTTGTTGTAAGACTGTTTCGTGATATAACGAAGCTTTAAAAACAAAATGACATTTCGCGGATTTTTTCGGCTATACAGTCGAACTCTCTGTCTTCAGGCAGAGAGAAACCCAGACGAGGTTCTGCCGAAGGGCAGAGTCTCGTTCGGGAAGGTAGACTGACCCCGAACCCTTTTATACGGGTTCGAAAGGGAATATTTTTGCCGAGCCTATGGGCTCGAAAGACTCACGTAAAACTAGGCCTTGTGTCACATCTACCCTTGTGGTGGTGGGGGATAGTAGATATTGACATTTCGCGGTCCAGATGACTACGGTCAAAGTGTAGTATCTGTTCCGCGGCCATGACCATGACCCGCTAAGACAAATTTTATGCCCAATGCCGTGTAAGCAAAGACAGGGTAAATTTTGACCTATGACGGAGCATACGCGATCGTGTGTCCCATGTCAAATAACTGTGTGTTGCATCCCGTCACAGTGGGGAGACATGGGTAAATAACAGCGTTCCGCGGCCCAGATTATTAGGATCAAAGTGTAGTATCTGTTTCAGCAGTCGAAAGCCAGGCCACGGTTCCAGCCGTTCCAGCTAGACTGCCATCATCATCTCCAGCTTTTCATCTGCCGTCTCTCCAGCTATCACCAATAGGCCTCTATGCTCCTGCTGCCCCAGCCTTACTTGTCACCGGAATGCAATAAACTGTCCTTTTCAGGACAACTCTCTCTAACGACTACCAAAACTGTCCTTCTCGGGACAACGCTATTCTCAACGTCTACAAGAGCTTGCAGAATGATATTATGTCTGTCC